GCCTTCTCCGCCCCGCCCCGCCCCGCCCCGCCCCGCAGCGCGAGCTGGGTCCCTGGGGGCCTCCCGGCGGGGCGGTGGGACCGTGGCGCCAAGAGGAGCAGGTGCGGCTCTCTCCCCGCGTCCCCGGGCTCTCGTTATTAGCAGACAGCGCAGGCCACACCTGGGCTCCAGTAACCCTCTGCCTCGCCCAGGCTGCCTGGGCAGAGGGGACTCCTGGGGACAGCCAGCCTTGGGCGGGGTTCCGTCATCAACATCGAGGGAGCACAGTGGGCTGAGGGTTCATCCGCAAAGACACACAAGGATCCCTCAGCGCTTACTGAGGGCCCTGGGGTGGGGGTGGTGTCTGCAGAGGCCAGGAGCCCAGACAATTCCCAAGGCCCCCACCCTTGCCGAGAGAAGGACACTGACGAAAACAAGCGGGGCGGCTTCTTGCGTATAACACACACAGACTTGGGGATGGGTGGATGGAAGAGGGTGTCGGCTAAGACGGTACACAGGATTCAGGAGTGTCCTTGGCTGGGGACAGCTGGACCGAAGGCCTGGGTCTGAGTGAAGGAGGTGGCCTCACAGCAGCCTGAGCCCTCTTCTTTTTTAGATGCTCCTGCCCCCTTCCCCATTTCTGGGGCCACCCAGGGGTCAGACAACCTTGCCCAAAGAGCCCCTCTGTCTGAGCAAGAAGCCAGTACTGGTCCTGGTGTGCTAGGGCGCTTGAATTAGGAGCCTTCCCTGCCCGCAGTCTTTCCAAAGCAGGATCTTGCAAGGGTGCCCAGGCTCTCCCCACAGGGAGTGGAGATGCTACAGAGGCCACTGTCCCCACCCATCCAGACAGGGATCCCAGCTCCTTGGGGCCAGCCTAACGCTTTGTGTGTGGAGCCTTGGGTGATCTGGGACCTAGGATGATGTGACCCCGCCTAGGGCAAGAGCCGCCTCCAGCTCCCAGGCCCACTGCACCAGCTCATCCTGGACCTGGCCAACAGCAGGAATGAAGGACAACAGCCATGTTTGGAGGCTTCTGGCCCGAGGCCAACTCCCTCTGCTTGGTGCGCAGCACCCCTGAGAGGGCAAGGGGAGGAGAAATAGACATACTCATACCTCTCATAAATGGGTCAGTGACCCTGCCCAGTGGCCCCTAGAGGGCCTGGACACAGCTCAGAGGTCTATGGAGTGGGGCAAGCTGTTGGAGGAGGGCGTGAAAGAGCCCAGTGGCTGCTGTCCAATCTCCCTCGGAAGAGTTGACATAAAAGCCCCTCCCACAGTCCCTGGGCACCCTGGCCAGGATCTCTGTTCTCCAGCTGACACATCAAGCCCTGTGTGGTGGAGGAGACATAAGCCACCTTCTCCCCAGTGGTCTGAGACCTGTTCAGGGACTCAGCAGGAGATGGAGGATACCCCAAGTCCCCCAGTGTCACACTCCAAGCAACCTCAGAATGGGCAGCGCTGACACAGCATTGGGCGCTTTTAGAATCCCCCAACACACTTGCTCAGCGCTGGAGGAGTGGGGTCCCCTTCAGCATCACACCAGCTTGCGGCTTGCACAGGCCATTCCTGGCACCATGTATTCACAGGAACACATTCGTGGAACCCCACAGCCCCAAACACCAACATCCCTCCTGGTCCTGCACACACTGCTGTCCTGGGCCCTGAACCCTGTTGTCCACGAGGAACCCTTCAGAGCCGCCCCTGCCCGGGGCCCTCCCAGTGGGGGCCCACCATCCCAGAATTACTCCTTCACGCCCCACTCCGTCCTGGCCGGGTCCTGCCTGCCTCGGCATCCCGAGTCATTCTCACGGCGGCCGGTCGTGCGGCTGGCCAGGCCGCGGCCAAGAGGGTTAACTCGCAGAGGGGCGGGGCGGGGCCCGGGGCGGGGCGGGGCCGCTCGGACACCGGCGCCATGGCCACGATCACTGGTCCCGGGACCCCCGGAGGGCGCCCGCGAGCGCAGAGCCCTCACCTCAGCAAGGTGGGCAGGGGTCCCCCGGCCTGCAGGCACCCGAGGGGGTCTGGGGGGAGGGGGGGCCGTGACCTTGGGGACCCCGCCCCCCCCCGCGGATCTCCAGAACCTGGGTCTCAGGCGCTGGCCCAACAGCCCCTGACGGTCCCCTCCGCCCAGATGGAGCGGGTGGTAGTGAGCATGCAGGATCCCGACCAGGGCGTGCGGATGCGGAGTCAGCGCCTGCTGATCACCGTCATTCCCCACGCGGTGACCGGTGAGGCGCGGTTGGCCGGGGCTGGGGTGGGGTGGGGCCGGGCCTCTGCCCACCGGGACACGGCCTCTCCCGCGCAGGCGGCGACATCGTGGAATGGCTGGCCCAGAAGTTCTGCATCTCAGAGGAGGGTGAGGGTGGCCGGGCCAGGAGCTGGGGGCGTGGTGGGGGGGCTTGACCCGGCCAAGCACTCACCGCCCCCTCCTGCAGAGGCCCTGCATCTGGGTGACCTTCTGGCGCAACACGGCTACATATACCCGCTGCGTGAGCCCCACAGTCTGGAGCTCAGGCCCAACGAGACGCCCTACAGGTTCCAGGTCAGGCTCGGTGGCGGGAGGGGCACCCCAGGCAGCCGTGGGACTCGCATGGGCAGATCGACTTGGATTTCCTCCGACTGCCCCCTCCCCACAAGGCCTAGACTAGAAGGACTAATTTGAGGCGAGGGAGCTTCAATTTTCTGGGGCCAAAGCAGGACTGCCATAAAGGGCAGTGTCTACCAGGGGGATGCTGGGGCCTCCCGGTGCTGCGCAAGGCCCACCCCTGAAGAAGAAGCTGTCTGCCTCGCATGAGACAAGATCCCGGTACTACAACTTGTGTACTCAAATGTAACTGAACATCCCCACACACACTCCTGCCCTTCCTGATTGCATCAGGGGCCCAGGCCACCCCAAGCTCTGACTGTGACTACATCCTAGGCTTGCACAGGCCCCCAACTCATCCCACCCTGAAGGGGAGGCAGCCTAGGGGCCCAAAGGGTGTGAACTGACCTCAGCTTTAGGTGGAGAGAATGGGCAGTGGTCAGCCAAGCTGACGGAGGCTGACAACACTGCCATTCCAATCTCCTTGGAGGGAGCTCTGTGGAGGGTGGTACCTGGGGTACTGGGGTAGGGAAGGAACAGGAAGGCCCAAACAGTCTTCTCCCTGCACCACACCAGACGCCATACTTCTGGACCAGTACCCTGTGGCCAGCTGCAGAGCTGGACTATGGTGAGTGGAGTGCTGGACTAGCCTGCGACAGGATCCCAGGTCTGATGGCCTTAGAGTAGGAGCAAAGCTTACCACTCTGCAGCCTGTTCTCTCTGCCCGTCCAGCCATCTACCTGACCAAGAAGAACATCCGAAAGCAGGGAGCCCTGGTGGAGCATGAGAAGGTGGGTCCCCAGAAGGTTTTGTGGCCAGAGAAACCTGGAGCCCCAGTGTCCCCAGAGCATGTAATCCACAGATACGCCACTTGTACCCTGCTGCCTCCCTGGGGAAATAGGGGTCCTTGTCTTAGATCTGGGCACCCGAGGGGGGCCACCCATGGAGACCTCATGTCACCAGGAGCACTATGACCAGCTGCACAAGAAGATCAACCACATGTGGGACCTAGTGGTGATGCAGGCCCGAGAGCAGCTGCGGTGAGTCCCCTCCCTGCGCTAAGCCAGAAAGCCCTGGAAGGCCCATGGCACCAGTGGCCTGGGGTTGTGGGCAGCACATCTGGGCTCTTCCAGGCTGTGACCTGAGCCCGGGGAGGCACTGTGTCTCCCTGTCCCCAACCCTTGCCTACTCCTCCAGGGCGGCTAAGCAACGCAGGAAAGGAGACAGGCTGGTCATTGCGTGCCAGGAGCAGACATACTGGCTGGTGAACAGGCCCCCGGTGAGCCCCTTGTGGGTGGAGTGGTGAGGTTCCCTGGCCAGCAATAGGGGTCCACAAGCTTCCCTGAAAACCGCTCAGAACTTTTCATTTAAGCCCATAGAAAGGACATGCCATTGAAGGCCCTGGTGTGTGACAGATGGACTTTGTTTTTTTGTTGTTGTTTGTTTGGTTGGTTTTTCTTCCGGTACCAGGAATCAAACTTATGATCTTGCGCTTGCCAGGCAGGCGCTTTGCTGCTGAGCTAAATCCTCCACCTCAGGAGGTCTTTGTTTTAATTTTTTTTTTTTTTTTTTTTTGGTTTTTCTCAGGTACCGGGAACCGAACTCATGACCTTGCGCTTGCCAAGCAGGTGCTTTGGCCGCTGAGCTAAATCCCCAGCCCCCTAGGAGGTCTTTGTTTTGTGACAGTTGAGAACTCATGAGGCTGCCTACACCCCCAGACCACAGGGCCAGTCAGCCTCCCTCTGGGTCTCAGCCGAATAGGGAGCCAGTTTTGGCACTGAGGGCCCTCGGAGGACGCAAGTGGGGGCTGGGCTCAGCCGTAGGCCTGGGCCTCAGGGTTTTGCCTGGGAGTAGGGGGCTTGAGGTCCCCTACTATCTGGGGCACCACTGGACAGAGGGGAGTGAGCAGAGATGGCTCAGGGCCAGAACTGAGTTTAGTGGAAGCTCAGTGTCCACATCAAACAGCAGAGATTCAGTATTAGGTCCCCAAGGGTAGAAATTTTTAGTGCCGCCTCACCTGCTCTTCCACCTGCAGCCTGGGGCTCCTAATGTGTTGGAGCAAGGTCCAGAGAGGGGCTCCTGCACTGCCAGCCGGGTGCAGATGGTGAGTGCCTGCATTACCCCCAGCCTGTGCCCACCCCCAGCTTGCTCACACACCTGCCCTCACCCACTCCAACCACCGTGGGACTTCACGGACTGCCATCCACCCATCTGTCTGTCCAGTCCACCCAAATGGATCTGATGCAGCCACACCAGAGTCCGTGCTCGGCTGCTGATCTCAGCCCCCACTGCCTGCTACCGTACCAGGCCTCTTGCTAACTCATCCCTTTTTCTCTTCCACCCGCTGCCCTTCGGCATGTAAGTAGAATGGCCCTGGGAGAGGGTGGGGGCTCTTTCCCCAGGCCATGACAGCATCAGGGTGCCCAGGAGGGTGGAGGGGTGACAGGCAGGGCTCTGCTGGGGGACCTAGATTGCAGCCACTTCCCTGTGGTGGCCTCCCAACCAGAGGAAGCAGGAGCAGGACAGATAGGTGTGAACAGGTTCATGTCCTATCTCACTTCTTGATAAATTTAGCACCTTAACTTTTCCATATATGAAGGCAGTCAAAGAGAACTGGGACAGAAATTAGACATCAGAAGTATCCTCCACCTCCAGTGCCACAGCCACTGTTGGTTATAGAGAACCAGGAGCCTGGGTCAGCCAGTCCTGGGCTTGCCTCCTGCAGCCCAGCCATGAGGCACGCCTGGAGGGATAAAGGGGTTCTGAGTTAAACCATGATTCCCCAGTGTGATCCTATTAGTAGGATTTCTATTAATGTATGTTGTTTTTTTTTTTAAAAAAAAAAAAGAAAAGAAAAGAAAAACATCTGAAAGCTGGGCGTGGTGGTACACCCCTGTCATCACAGAACTGTAGGAGGCTGAGGCAGGAGAATAGCAAGTTCTAGACCTGCCTGGGCAACTTAGCAATTTAGTGAGAACTTATCTCAAAATCTAAAAAAGTCAGCTTGGGATATAGCTCAGCAGCACAAGTACCTGCTTGGCAAGAGCAAGGTCATTAGTTTGATTCCCAGTACCAAAAAAAAAAAAAAAAATCTAAAAAAAAATCTAAAAAAGTAGCTGGAGCTGTAGATTAGTGCAAAGGTCTTGTGTTCACCCCCCACTACACAAAATAAATACATACATACCTGTATCTGAAAATATGATTGATTAGTCATAATTGGGGAACTTCAAGGTAATCTGAATAACCTGTGGGTTGGGCAGAACTTCCTGAAAATCTCCAGACTAAGGCCCCAAGGTCTCTAGGGTTACAGTTAAGAGTAAGGGGCTCTGAGGTTGGGGCTGGAGGTCTAAGCTGTTCTGTGTCTTGTCCTAGGGCTGGGGCTCAGCCCAGCAGGGACTGGGTAGGTGGGATTTCTGACCCCTGAAGGAAGCCTGCCTTGTAACTGTCTGTCTGTTCCTTTCCAGATCCAGAGCTCGGACTTCTATAAGCGGGAGGTAGGTCCTGAGGGTGGGGTGTTGGGCAGTCTGTCCCCAGCCCAGGTCCCCATTCACAGCTCTGGTTCCCTAGATTGAGTTCTCCAGGAAGGCACTGGGCAGGACCCGGGTAAAATCCTCCATCTGCCTTGAGGCGTGAGTTGGGGGAGTGGGTGGCAGGAGACCCCAAGCCCAGACCCCTTTTGGCATCTCCTCACCCCTGAGGCCCCTCTCTGCTTTGGCCCTGGCCCCCAGGTATCTAAAGTTCAGCAGCCAGCATAGCCTGCATGACCCCATCATGTCGGGGTGCCTGCCCAGCAATCCCTGGATCACAGATGATGACACCTACTGGGCCATGAATGCACCCATGTGAGCCTGTGGTGCAGGGGGACTGAGTTATGCTTCTGGTCTGGGGCTGGCAGCCGGGCCAGCATCCCAAGTTCCCCATTGTTCCTCCAGGGTGGCTGTACCCACAAAGCTCCGTGTGGAGCGATGGGCGTTCAGCTTCCGGGAGCTTCTGGATGACCCTGTGGGCCGGGCCCACTTCATGGACTTCCTCCAGAAGGAGTTCAGTGGTGAGAAGCCCAAGTCCTGTGCCGGGCTCCTGGCGCTGCCCAGGGCCCCTTGGTGTTGTTCAGGATTTCTCCTGGTGCAGCCTGTTGGGACAGCCAGCTGGCTGCTACTCGGGGTGGACTGCTAACTTGGTGCTGGTCCCCAGCGGAAAATCTCAGCTTCTGGGAGGCGTGTGAGGAGCTGCGCTTTGGAGGGCAGGCCCAGATCCCCGACCTGGTGGATGCTGTGTACCAGTGAGTGGCAGGTGGGCCCTAGGCGGCCATCGGACAGGCCTGCCCAGCCTGGACCCATCTTGTGCTGTTCCCACCTGCAGGCAGTTCCTGGCCCCCGGCGCTGCCCGCTGGGTCAATATTGACAGCCGGACAATGGAGCGGACCCTGGAGGGGTTGCGCCAGCCCCACCGCTATGTGTTGGATGACGCACAGCTACACATCTACATGCTCATGAAGAAGGTGGGCCCTGCCAGCCTCAGTGACCCTGCTAGAGCCCAGCAGTATTTCATCTATTTGGTTTTTGTCCAGAGTACTTCAGAGGGGGTGTCTGCTGCGCTCCTCTGCAGCCTGTGCCATTCACTGTCCTAGACTCACTGGCCTGCAGTGGGTGATGTCCCAATCCCACCATTCCTCCTGCCTGCCAGCTGAAGCATGTCCTGCCACACTGCCTTTGTCCATTCTGGTTTTCACATGGTACAGATGGCATAGCAAAGTCAATGCTGTCCTTTCCTTTATTACTTTTAAAAACAATGAGTTAGTTTGCTGCATGTGGTGATACATGTCTGCAATCCCAGTACTCTGGAGGCTGAGGCAGGAGGATTGCCACAAGTTCAAGGCCAGCCTCGGCTACACAGTGAGTTCAAGGCCTGCCTTAACTACATAGTGAGATGCTGTCTCAAAAAAAACCCCAAAACCAAAAAACCAAAAAAAAAAAAACCATCCACAAAGAGTCCCCTAGTGTCTGCTAAGGGTGGTCAGTAGGGCCTGGATTTTCCCCCTTTTTTGGTACTGAACCCAAGGACCATACTCCAGCAGTGGCCTTCGGCCCCTAGACTTGTCCATAAATACCTACGTACCCATGACCACTTGGTCCTGGGGACTGCCAGG